GACGTTCATTCTGCAAAACTTGCGGCGTCAGGACGGTGAACGTTGCTGGAATTGTGGCGATTGGTTGTGATGTGGACAAACTGCACCAACATGGAGTCCGATCAGAGACGACGCCAGCAGCTAGCCGAGAGAGAAGGAAGGTAGGAACGTAAACAAAGGAGGAGGAAGAGAGCTGGGATCCATGCTAGGCTAAAGGCTAAAGGCTAACCCCTCCAGACCAGCAGGACCGTCCTCCTACTCTCCAATGTCTGCTCCCTCCACAACAAGCTGGACGTTTGCTGAGAGAAACCCGCAGAGAGTGGAGGGACTGCTGTGTGTCTGCTTTAACAGGAACATGGCTCCATGACAGCATCCCAGACGGACAGACAGCTGGAGGGGATGCAGACAGACAGCAGCTCTGGGCAGCATCGGCGGCTTCACCATCGTCACACCATCGTGTTTGTTTCCCTGAAGAGGTTCACAATGTTCAGCGAATGGCGGAAACGTCCACCTCACACGTCCTCATGTACCTGTGAATGTGTCAATAGGCTGCTGTTGGAAAACATCACTGTAACTTAAAAAGAGACGACACACAAATGTTTTGTTTACAGCTTCTTGCCCAGTGGCCAAAGAACCAAATGCTGGTTAGAACTCTGCACCAGTCTGGAGCAAACAGCTGGTCAGCTTCACTTCAGGGCAGATGATGAAGGAGAACAACTCCCAGAGGAGATGTTTGGCATCAAACATGCTCAAAAGTCTACGCACTAATCTGTGCCATTCCTCTTCTGCGACAGTTTCTAGTGGAGACGACTTTATTCATGTGAAGGATCTCAGAGTTCATGCACGAGGAGACAATTTAAATACAGCCGGCTGCATGTGGATCTGATTGAGTTTTGCACAACTGATGCTGTGGCTCATAAAATAATGTTTTGTGTGTGTCTGCTGGGAATCCTTGTGCACACCAACACACTGCACATCCTGCTCGAGGAACACAACCAAGAGCCCGTGATGTCGTCCAGGCCTCCGCATTCACCTCCACTCTATCAGGGAAGTGGCTTTAGTGTCATGTCTGATGTGTGTTGATCGTTCAGTGGAATGAATGTTCCTCCGTCTATGTTTGGTATTGAAAGGTCAGCGTGATTATTTTGTGTTACATGAGCAGCGGCGGAGACAGCGAGCTGCGACCGGAGCTGTGGGAACCTGCGACTCATAACCTCCGGTGAGCCTAAGAGGGCAGAGGCGGACTGGATTGGATTGCATTCGCTGACACACTCACAACACAGCCGGAGCTCGCCGCGAAATATTTGCTGGCTTTGTCCAGCCCTCAGGAAAGCACAGACACGTCATCTCTTTGCATGCTCTCCACACACAAACACAGAGAGAGGAGATGTGACACTTTGGGGTGTAGGGTGACACCTTGAATCGGCCTATTACCACATCCAAATGTTTGCGCTGCTTTGTAATGTGCACCGAGACAATGGCAGGCCTGGGAACGGGACGACTGGTACGAGGGAGAAGCTGGGGAGGCGAGGAAGCTTATCTGAGATGGACAACAAAGTGGCAGCACAGGAAAGGAACAGAAATCAAACAAGTTATGAAAAAAAAGGGGGGACGGCAAAGAAAGACAAACACCCAGCGTGGAGGTAAAAACCCGCGCGAGTGTTTGAGGTGTGAGAATGCAGAAGCCACGAGCAGGTCGGTAACTCGAGCCCCATGTGAAGCCTCAGCCGCAGGAACTGAGCTGGAGAATACACTGAGTCATTACAAGCTGGCGACAATGAACTCACATTCCCCAGCACACACACAAATATCAGCTCAGTGACACACACACACACACACAGATGTCAGCCACCCACATGCAAAAACTCAATCCATATGCACTCACACACACACACACACTCAGACACGCACTTCCTCGGCATCTTCGCGGCTCCAGATTCCTTCTCACAGAGATTATGTGGCCAGAAACAAGCTCTGACTCGCTGTCGGAGACGGTGAGTGAAGAATGACCGCATTACAGATTCACCGCCGCAGGGGTCGACTGAACCGGCGGACGGCGAGCTGCAGGAGGACGGATGTGAACTGTGCTCCAGGGCTCCTCCTGAAACTACCCTCTGGACATATCACACAATGTGCAAAATGGGCTCAAAATATCACAGCGTGTGATCGATTAATCAGTAAATTTCATCCAGAGTCCTGCCTTAAAAGCTCAAGAAATAGTTAAAAAAACCAAAACTAAATAGAACCAACGTCTTGTTTTTGCCTAAAACGATCCAAAACCCAAAGTCATTCACTTGAACATGAGCATTTGTGGCCGTTTTCTGGCTTTAAAAATGGTCAAACAAGATAAAAAAAACCAACCAGACCTGCAACAAAGGATGAACTAATTGATGAGATAACGGATTAATAATAATCGTCAACCATTTTGGTCATTTTTTTAAGGTAAGAAACATCCAAATTCTTAGATTTTAGCGTCTAAAATGTGAACATGTTCTTGTTTTTTCTTCCTCTATGACAATAAACAATAAGCAACTTAAACAGGAGGATCTGTGGACTTATGAAAACACCAAATCAATCCGCTGGTATTAAAAATGGCTGCTTGAGTTTTTCTTTGGTGACAGTAAACTGAACATCATGTCTGGACAGTTAATTAAACGAGACATCTGTGGACGTTTGGGGAATGGTTTTCGGATTTACAACAAATAATGACTCAAGGAAAAAAATAAAAATTACTATTGCGGCTCAATTGACAACAGAATGAAATCATAAAAATTAAGAGAAATGTCATTACAGCTGCTGCGTTAATGGAGCGTTACTTTCCACTGTGCATGTGAATTATGTGGGAAGAAGACGACAAAGAAATCAATACTGGATCAGACTCAGATATCTGGAAGACTGGGATCAAGATCAGTAGAAGAAAATATGTGATCAACAAGACTCTGGCTCCACCGGCGTCTCGCTCCCACTGGGATTATTATTCACAAAGTGTTTAAAACAAATCGATGCTTGCGACAGAGGCCACATTGAGCATCAATCACACGCCGGAGCTACTCGGCTGTCAGACGGAGCCGGCTTTAACGGTGCACGTGGAAATAAGAAAGGAACAATAAAATAAATACTGGATTGGACCCTGACGTTTACGGGGACGATATCTGACAACCTGATCGCTGATGCATCTTCCATTGTTGGGAGAAAACCCCTTAACTCCACTTTGTTGAGAGTTCTGCCCTCAACAGATGAGTTTCTGTGCATGACAATTATCTAATCATCTCGTTACCACTGACCACTGGTTGGACTATCTGAAGCAACGCATCTTTGACAGCGTCATTACTTTCCGGCAGCGTGGTAAATCACAATTACGGCTGAGACTAATTATCGCAGTGGGTTCGTCTCACAAGCTAACTGGAAGCAGATGCGTTAATGAAGACGTGACAAAATGCTGGCGCGCTGATGCTGTTCAGAACCAGAGTCAGGAAGGACACGACCGAGATGGAAGCCTGATAATATTACATTTGATTTGGTGCTGTCAAGACTCATCTCTCCGCGTTCAAAGCGGCATCATCAACATGGTCGTGGTGATGATCTTCCAGCTGGATGCGACGGCGGTAGTAAATTAGACATCACAATCAATCCCATTACTGCAAATGGAAAACCCAAAACATAAATCGCTGTTTTTGTGAATTTGCACACGATGAAAAGCGTGTCTCCAGCTTCAAACCACCTCCGCTGTGAAAATAAAAGCAGCCAGTTTTAAACACTGAGCTGTGAGAGGAGCTGCACATCATCATCGGTGTGTTAATATCACTTTTGGGTTTTTTTGTTCTTTCCAGGACACATAATCTTTTTGCACTTTACTTCTCCACAAGGTGAAAGTGTGTCTAAAGTTAATCATTTCACCATCCCCCTGTATGTTTGAACTGCAGCAGCTGCCAGCTATGAGGGAACCAAAGAAAAAAAAAATCAATTGAGTGGATAAATAAAGCACCGAGCGACAAGGCCAGACTTTACGGGTCCCAGCTCGCGAGGTCCAGACAAACTGACCCGCCGAAACCGTAAAGAGTTAAATATAGTCCAGAATAATATTATTCTGCTCATGTCAGAGAATCAGCAGGGACGGCCATATAGCAGCTCACATGACACAGAGCTGCCAAAGCTGCATGAGCAAGGCGCTAAAACCCGTCAGTCAGTGCAGCAGCATCACACACGTAATGTTTCTGAGTATGTTCTTAACATAGGAACAAAGCTGTCATTCTGAAGTGGTCACAGACATCAACAGGCTCTTTTAGGGAAGTCTGATTACTGAACTCTGAAATCTGCTCTAACGAGAGCTGCAGCTGATAATGATTTTAATAATCCGTGAAGCTGTCAGTTGCGTTCCTGATTAATGCTCCACCACAGACAGCGACTCCACACGTGACATGATGCAGCTTTCTACACAGCATTATTACGCTTTGCTCGTCTCAAGTTGTTCGTACCATCAACTACATACATGAGCACATTCCTGCACCATGGAAATATTTCTAACACTTTTGTTTTTTACTTGCAACGCCTGCTTTTTTTAAATTATCATTTTATTTTTAGATCTTTTTAACCTTCTTTATAAATGTTGCTTCATTGTTGTGCACCAAAACACCACCATGTTATTCCTACTTGGCATTAAAATCGACTTTGACCGGACCCCAGCGCCTGTCGGCCCACCGGGTGGCAGCTCCAAGGATCCAGACTGGCCCACCAGACGCTCCTTTATCAGGTCTGGCTCCAGGAGGGGGCCCCTGTTTTCTTAATCCTGGTAACATGCTGCAGCTCCTTCTTGGCCAATTCAATCACTGTCCCTCCTCTGAGACTAATTTACCTTGGAAGGCCCTAACAGGAGGTGGTGCTTCTCTGGGGGGACGTCTACGACGACCTGACCAGCCTGCTGACTCCACCCGACTCTGGAGAAGAGGAAGGACGGAGCAAAAAACAAGAATCTGAGCTTCACAATTAAACAACAATAAAAACAAACGACACAAAGCAACCGATCATGTCAGTGAAATAATTTAGTGGGACAAACAATTTGACGATTACATAAATAATTTGTGTCATGATTCTCTCGTTTCGTAGCTTTTAGAAATACTTCCACCGTTCCATAAGGCATGACATGGTTTCTGCAGCATTGTCTATATGATTTTTCTTTCTATGAGAATATATTTGCCATATTTGACAAATCTGAGAGTGTGTATGGCGAGACAACAACTGCATAGTTCCCAGGCTGGAGCCGTATCACAAATCTCAAGCAACTATACGACAAACAGACATCTCTGGTCAGTTCCCAGGCTGTCATGGAAGTCTTTTTGGAGTGTGTGTGCATTAGATCCTCTTCTCACACTCCTGTATCCTTCAACCCCGAGGCTACAGGAAACCTCACAGAGGGAGGAGTGGCGGAGGAGGGTGGGAGGTGAGCATCCATCAGCCCCGCTCACAGGGCTCTGTCTGGGCTCGCTGTGACGCCCAGAGGGCAGGCACGGAGCTCCCCGAGCCGCTCTTTATCTTCCCCGATGTCTTTATTTCCTCCTCCTCCACCAGCTCGCCTCCTCTTGTCAGTATCTGTAACGGAGGATTATCTGTTCCCGCCTCCCTTCGCTCTCAGGTGGAGCAGAGTGGCGAGATCGCAGGAGGAGAGAATTCAGACGGAGATTTTTTAGGTTCCTTTAAATCACTCCCTCTGTTGAGTTCCTTTGAAAATGGAGAAGGAGAGGAGAGCAGAAAATGCCAGGAGGAGCAGATGTAAAGCGTTCCATTGGTTGTTTCTGTCAGCCAGCGCTGTCGGGGTGAGTCACTGTTTCTGGGGGCTTTTTTAACTGGCGCGCTCTGTTTCGGAAAGCCAACAACACCTCCAAATTACAACAAAAAAACCCTTTGTTCTCGACTGGCATGTGCAAATGAAGCCCAACTGTCACTAAAACTGAAGAGGTAAAGGTGCGTTTCGTTTCAGTTCACAAGCTGGTGTTGTCCTGTCCCCTGTTCCCCACAGAGGAGAGACCGAGGTGAGGATGAGGAGGAGGAGGAGGAGGAAAGGATGGAGGAGTTCAGTTGAAGAGGATGGAGTCAGGGTCTCTGTTGGCGATCTGCGCCATGTGTTTGAGTATATCCTTTTTGGTGATGATTCCCAGCAGCCTCCTGGTAACAGAGAGACACAGAAGAGAGCAAAAGTCACAGAAATGCTTCACATCGTACTCGGTTTGCTTCGTCACGGGAAGCCAAAGAAAAGACAGAAGGCAGAGAGGCACGGAGTCAACCGAAGCCTGGCCTCCTATCGCCACACTGTGGCTCAGCAGTTCGGTTTTATTACAGGCCCGCGGGGGAACTGGCTCGGAGCAGCAGATCAGAGTTACATGAAAGCACAAATGAAACATGAAAGAGTGAACAGAACACACTGGAGCCAATTACAGCCGGCGCTCTGGTGCTAAAGACCTTCAAGTTCACACCCGGGGTTAGGAACAAGAGCGAAAAGCCAGGGAACAAATATAAAAGCCGGTTCCTCGTGTACGTAGAGGAACAGGAGCCGAAAACTGGTTTAAGATGTGCAGCCATTAATTGCGCAACGCGACCAGATTCTGCTACGAAGCAGAGCTGGCAGCTGCTGCGTCTACGTGGTCCAACACTGTGAGCAGTCTGCTTACATCTGTAGATGGATGACAAACTCTGAAAATAATAATCGGGCACAGAAGGAAGAATTCATATTTTGACACAGAATGTGAAAAGCAGTGCTTTAAAACGAGACGACGCACATTTTAGGCATGAAATTATTTCTTTTACTCTGATTTTGATCAAATTAATCAGCAATAAAACACATGATTTTCCACTTTTCCAGACATAAACACATCAAGTATGTGGTCTAGACTCATTTTTTGGCTCTTTTTCTGCTTGTTCACTACATTTGATCATTTATTCATCATCATTTATTAATGTCGCACAGATTAAAGCTTTAAAACAAGGATTTAACCCAATGAGCCCACATCATATCATTTGATGTGATAATACTGGCAGATCTATTTGTGTTTGCTTTTTTTGGAGAAAACAACAACCACCTTTCACCCCTCTGCATCAGATAACTCCTCCACTCATATTTTTGCACAAGTGTTACAGTAGTCCTTTATTTTATTTTACTTTATTTTATTATTATTATTGCCTTTATTGTCTTTCTTTACTTGGCAAAAAAAACAAACAAAAACAAAACAACTGTTAAATTGTAAATTGTAAATATGGAAATCTTTTTTTTTTCCTGCTTGCTTTTTTTCTTCTTATTTTTATTTCTTTTTTTTTTGTATCTTCTTGTATAATTATTTATTTCGTGCTACTGTGATAAAACAGTTTTCCTTGTGGATCAATAAAGTTTCTCTAAATCTAAAAAAAAGTGCCGGCAGTAGATTTCTTTACATATTTTTGCCTAGAATCTGGAAATACCAGAACAATGACGATGACGATGGGATACGTGAACATGTGACTGGACGCTTCATGTTCTCGACAGGAACCAGTAGGATGAGTCACAGGAACAGTTTATGGAAGAATGACTAAAAGATTGAATGACAATAAAATGCCAGCAGCCTTTTGACAAAAACAAAGACAACAGCTTTGAAATATTCCCACCAAACATCCAGCTGCTGCTGTTCTCGAGCTTTCTGCTCTGATGCGGAGTGAAAGCTGCACTAACAGCTGAATGGCATCAGAGACGTCGGAGGGTAAAAACGCTGAACACAATCAAGAGATGTGGTGGCTGGGAGGATGTCTGTGTGTTGAGGTAAGTGCATTTTTTAACATTTAAATTCATAAACAGAATGAAATCCAGGCAAAGAGTGATGTCACACTCCCAGAACAATGATGAGAAATCAGCCAGATATGAGTCTTTGCGAAGGAGGCGGCCTTGAACTAAATATAGTCTGGGAAAATACCGCTGTTGCCAGTCAGAGTGATAAAATTAACAGTATTCCTGTCACACAGCGACCACAGAAATCACAGGTTTCACTCCACACAGCCTCCAGCTCTTTCTTCTGCGCGTCTTTAAACCTGGCAAACGAGCAACTCTCTGGATTTAAAGCCTCACGTAAACTCAGGAATCCTGTCCGATGAGACAAAACAGACTTCCTTCACACCTGGAAACCGTCCCTCCACTTCCTGCCTCCACTTCCTCAAAAAGGCTTTTCCATTTTCTCCTCACATGCAGATGCTCTCTGATATAATTTCAGCATTCTGTTGTTGGCCAATAAGCAGCCCATCTGAAGCCAATAGCGAAGGAGGCCGTTGTGCCTGTCACCAGCTGTGTGCGATGTCAGAAAGCACCCCCTTAGATTGGTTATTGATATGAGGGTGGAGAGCAGCAGCTTGATGCCCCACAGATGAACATGGAGAGCTGAGATCTCAGACACTTCTCAGGGTTTTGGTTACACAGCAGCTGATTTCCATTAATTCTGCTCACAGATTTTCTTGTAGTTTTTTTTTTTTATCCAAGCAATGCTGCCAGAGTGTTGCTCCATCACCAAAACACAACACGACCGAAGCTCGACGACTTCTATTCCAACTCCTTTAACGACGACTGAAGAGGTGTGAATGACGGAGAATCGCCTCATAACGAGCGTTTGTTTTGAGCGCTGTGTGTTTGCAACAGGTTCAGCACATGCAGTCGCAAATTCTAGCTTTGGGTGGATGATTTACGTAACGGGTACAGTTATGACTACGTGGATGCCACACCAGGAAACTTTACTCAACAGGCCTCACTGGCTTAAAGATAAAGGCTGTACAGGATGTTTAATGTGTACATGTTTTAAAGAAAATGAGGAGTAACACACAGCCTGCATTGCATTAAGTCTTTTTGGTGAAAAAAAAATCAAATAAAAATCCCTCATAATGATGTCATTAGAGGCCTGTAACAGAAAGCAAACACCACCCTCCAGCAGTTGGACTCCAACAGAAAGACGTTAAGCAGACAGGAGGACTAAAACCAGAGATGTTACTGAGTATAGGCAGCATTTTTCTGGAAAATGATCCATGCTGTGGTCTAAAAATCAGGATAGTTCCACATCAGTTTTGACTCTTCTTCTCTTGCAACTGCCTCTCTCAGCTTCCAGGAAGTAAAGTCGTGAATTCTAGGAGATCCTCCTTAACCTCAACATCTAGAAGTCCCGAGGGAATGACGGCTCATTCATCAACCCTACTGTTACTTAATCACTGAACCTGCAGGGAGAGGAGAGAGAAGAACCTGAATGAGAAGCTTTAAGCCCACGATTTAGCCACGGAAGAGGATTTTAAAGAACTCAGAGATAAAGAGATTACACAAGAAAAGAACGAGCTGCTCAGAAATCTTGAATGAACATCCTCAACGACACAATTAGCTCCGTTTCGACATCGTTTGGCTCCGTTTAGGCCTTTATGTAACAGTGAAGAGCTGACAGGAAGCGCAGTATTTTATTTCATTCTAACAGATAAAGTGAAAGTAACGTCTGGAGCAGTGGAGCTAAGTCGGCTCTCTCGGCTGCAGCCCCGTTTTATGATTTGAGCTAATAAAGTTAGCATTAATTTTACTTTCCCTTTCAATTGTTCTCTCTGCTTTTTCCTCTGTTCATCACTTCTGGGCCTCTCTAATTGATTCTCTGCTACTACTTCATCTCCATAAACACCAGATCCTGACTCACACCAACACTCGCCCTCTACCTGCCACAGTCTGAGGTCATGAGAGGATTCCTGCTGAAAAATTAAAACCGTGCGCCGAGAAGAGAAAGTGACGGAGAAACCGCGAGCTGCCATGATTACATGTGTGTGCGAGCTTGTTTGACAGCCGCGGTAACTTACACTATTTCTTTAATCGCACAAGAGTACACACAATTTCTCTTCCAGAATCCCTGAAAGCTGTGTGTTTGAACATGTCAGACCTCCATCTAAACAAGCGCACGAGAGGCCGCCGGGGAAATGAATCGGACACTGATTGGGTTTATTCTCACTGCGAGTGTCTTCTGTTCTGGTCCGTCTGAACGTAATTCTGCAGAGAAACATGGTAAACAGAGACGGGTAGAAAGTCTGACGGATAGCGCCAGACTGTGTGAAAAGTTCAGCGCGGTAAGCCTCACTGCGGCTGGAAGTGGTGTTGATGATGTCAAACAGAAAGTTTTGGTAAATCACTTCTGAGTGGTTCGATTTCAAATTGCTGAATAAACACAGCAGTGTTTAGTGGAGTTTCTATCCACCTCAGTAGGTCTAAATCCTGCCAGTCAGACACATCCATCCCATCATACTGTGTCCCTGGAAGTTTTTGATAAGAATCTCCAAAAACAATGAGAAGTGATTTCATGTTGAAGTGAAAACAGATTTCCAGTCCAGTAAGGCCAATCAACTAAGAATCTAAAATGTCAAATAAGTGATTGTGTAAGTATTGTCCTCCTTCAAGCCAGTGTTAGTAGATGCACCTCTGATTGCAGTCACAGAATTGAGCCTGTGTGGAAAGGTTTTAAAACGCTGCAATTTCTCCTCATTCTTCTTGAGGTTGCTCGGGGGTCGTGAGTAAACAGTCCTTTTCAAGTCCAGCCACAAATTCTCCGTTGGATTGAGGTCTGGGCTCTGACTTGGCCTCCAGAACATTCACCTTGTTGTCTTTAAACCGTTTCTGTGTGGCTTTGGTTGTTAGCTTCGACTCATCGTCTTGATGGAAAACAAATCTTCTGCCAAGTCTCAGTTCTCTTGCAGGCTGCATCAGGTTGCCCTCCCGGACTTCCCTACACTAACCCTAACCCTAACCCTCTCCTGTATTCTTTTAACCTTCTACCTTTATACATCTTCCAGGGCTGCTGCCGAGAAGCATGATGCTGTCACTGCCATGCTTCACATCATGATGCTGCCACCACCGTGCCTCGTAGTGTCATCCACCGACCATACTGTATATAAGCTGATGGAGAAAAAGCTCAGTTTTGGTCTCGTAACACCAAAGAATCTTTTTCCTGTTGACTTCAGAGTCAGAACTGAAGCGTTCATTTGCAAAAACAGATAAATCCATCTCCACAAACCTTCAGAAAATCCACTTTTCCACCGTCTACCTGAGACAACCTCAATCAAACTTAAATTATCTCTATTTTCAAATCCACTCAATCTCAAGCAAACAACAACAAAAAAAAAGTTTTCTGAAACTCTACAAAAATGGAGTTATCTGTTTTTGCAAATGAACTCTTCAGTTGTAGTTGAGATTAATTATGAGCTTTCTCAACAGTTGCTTTCTCTTTGCGACTCAATAATTGCGTGACTTGCAGCAAATAGTTGCACCCGTGTTGAATTAACCGAGTCACTTTGAAGGGGCTGAATTTATATCTAAGGACTCACTTTACGGTTTATAATTCTAAGAAATGTATTACTTTGAAGAAATCTGTTTTGACTTGGACATGAAGGAGTATATTTTGTAAATTACTGTCAAAAAGTCTAAGTATTTTGACCATGATTTAATGTTTAAAAGCAATGAAAGGAGAAAATACGTTTCATAGGTACTGTAAATATCTATGACTGCTGGCTAAAAGAAATATATATCCGAAAACAGAAATTACAAAGAGACAATTTCGCAATTTTTGGACATCTTAAAGATTAAACAAATGTTTTTAAGTATTTGTACGTGCCCATGAATTCTAAAAAGCATCCTCCGCAGACACAAGCGTGACCCCAAACCAACACCACTCTCATCTTCACTGCTCCTCTTCCTCTTGCACAATCAAAAGTTTCAAGACGGATTTGCAAAAAAAGTAAATAAACACAGACACTCATCCTCCGCTAAGTTTCCCAAGCACATTCATGAAACATGAATCTCTTCAACGCAGAGGCGGCTTTGAAGAAGCCGATATTGAGAGTTTTATGAGCTTCACAAAAACAAAAAGTAGCAGGAAACTGGTCCGACGCCAGAACCAGAGAACAGCTCTTCTTCCTGCGCCGCATTCTCATCGGCCAAATGCCAAATAGGGTTTGTGTGTGTATCCGTGCCAGCGTTTCCATTATCGAGACCTACTTATAAAAGCCGTTACATCAACAGATGGACGGCCCACGATGTCCTGGGATTAGTGGCAATGCAGAGATATGAGAAAACACACCTTGAGGGGTTTCTGTGCTGCTGCTCACCACCTCACCCTCCATTAAGCATCGATGTCTTCCTCCCTAACTCCTGCGCCTCCCTGCTTTCTCTTTAATGCATGGCCTGACGGTGAATTGAGCTCTCCTACACATCCATCTGTCACTCCTTCCATCCGTCCACAATTTCCTAAAGATATCCCCCTTTAATGCCTTCAGATGTGGGAGGCCACTCGGTTTATTCATTTGCTGGACTTCTTTCCTGTCCTGTGACTTCTTATCTTAAATGTTAACTAAAAGCAAAAAGTCTTTCAGAGGATTAAATTCACAATAGGTTTGTCTTTTAGGGAATCTGTGGGTGGCCAACAGCCAAAACTTGCTAAATATAATATATATAAAATCAATCCCTACGGCGTGTGTTCTCACCCATTATGTGTAACCAGACACTGTCGTAGCCCCAGCTTCCTGAAAATGTCCACGGTGATGTCCATGGGCGTGTGGTCGGTGACGGTGAAGGGGCTCAGGTCCATGATGCCTCTGAGGCGGAGTGGCGGCGGCGCGTCGGGGGCCTGGGCTGGAGCGTGCTCAGTGAACACCACCTGGGAGGCACTGACGACGCCCTCCTGCCGCTTCCGGGCGTTGTCTGAAAGGAGAGGCAGGAAAAGAAGCGAATGGGGATTTAAAATGCTGATCTGGGCAAGGTACACATTAGTTATTTAAACTTGTTAAACGGATCATTTTGGCCACTCAGGGTGAGCAGAGACAAGCCGAGCACACAACAGCAGCGTCGGGCTGTAGCGTCTGGGTCGACTGGTTGGTCCAAACTAACAGAGACTGCTCGGCCGCCTTATTGAACGTTTACAGAGCATTTATTCACAGTCGGCTCCAGACGAATAGACACCGTGTCAAAGAAGCCGCCTGTGTGGCTGCATTATCATCAAAGTCAAGTGTAAACTTTGCAAACAACGTTCAAACATCTAAAAACAGAAGCTAACTTGTCTGCACTATCTTCCTCAGTAGTTCTTGTGCTGGGATCAGAAGATCACTTGTTCTCTGAAAACAGCAGCCTGTTGTGGTGGAAGTCGACAGTTCGCGCTGTGAAGTGAGCCAAAGAAGTAAAGCTCCAGATGAAACTGCTAGAAACAAGCTAAAACTCACTAGAACGCTCTGTGAAGAAGAGACGAGCTGCACATCTGGGTGATGACGTTCTAAGTTCATCAACTCAAGCGAGTCCTTTTGCATCGTCATTGTTTTGTTACTGTAAGATCTTGGCTGTAACTGCTTCAGAGTGATTGAAATGTGGGGAAAGAACGGACAAGATATGTATGCCAAAGTGATAGCACAGCATTTCCAAAACTAGAGTTTTACAGCAGGTTTTCAAAATGCTGGAAGTTGGGGTTAGGGTTAGGGTATTTCAACTTACAAAAACTAAAAAATGATGAGGTGTTATATATTCTAAGCCCACTTTGTTTTATTAAAATATCAGTTCAGACCTATCGATATGAGCAGATCTCTCCTGAGCACAAATCCCACGAGCCTCTGGGACTCCTGAGAGACGACCACGGGGAACCCACTGTAGTGAGTGCTCTCCACCAAGGTCTGCAGAGAAACAAACAAAAGGACATCACATGTAATATGATTCCATACGTACAGCGTATAATCTGAGAAGACAGTTATATTCTAGTGTGTTCAACAATCAAAATGAGCTCATAATGAGGCACCAGAGGTTTTCTTTTTCCATTAGGTGTAGGCCACATGTAAGAAGAGATGTCTTCATCGACATCGCCACACGTGTTCTGCTTTATGTAACAACACAGCTCTCCATACCACTCTTTTTTTTTTACTGCTGGTTCTGCTCTGTATCAGTGGCTGTTTGCTGCCATGTGTTTACGTGCGTCCATACCTCCACCTCCCCTACAGTCATGCCCTCCTGCGTGAGCACAGCCAGCGCTGGATCCGCCCTCCTCGGCCTCATGACGTCCACGGCCAAGCTGCTGTGCTCAAACTCTTCCTTGGGCTCCAGGAAGGGGTAACCGTTGAGCCTGATGTGAGCCTGCAGAACATGTATGTCTTTAGTTGGAGGACACCCAGAAGAAAAACATGTTTGTATTTACTGAAAGAATTTCGGGATAAATTATTGTTAACCAAATAAGCAATCAAAGTCAAAACCAGCTAATATGTGGAACAACATCAGCTTGAACGCAGATCTTTGAACGTACAGCAAAGGGTTCAACTTTCATAAACGCTCACAGACACATCACCTCATAAATTCCTTCTCTTCCAAAAGCATCTGCCACCCATTTGCTGGTCATGGTTGCAGCCATGAGCGGAACGATGTACTCGAGGCCGCCAGTCAGCTCGAACATGATGACTACCAGCGACACCGTCATACGAGTCACTCCACCTGGACAGAGACACGACACAGCCACAGGTTAGCTTATTCTTCTAGCCTGAATAATTATTGTCTGATTCATCTGAACCCCACACACAGAAAAACAGCCGTGCACCGCAAAACACACGACTCGATAAGAAAACAGAAGAGTTAGAAAAGATGATTTGCCATCCTGCGGCTGTTTATAACTAAAAGGTAGAGTTTGCACACAGACAGCTGCACGGTGAATTGATTTCGCCATCTGAAATGTGGAGCTCCTAATCTTCCATCATCCTCGCCTAGAAATTTAGCAGTAAAGATCAGTGGCTGCAGTCTGAATCCAATCATGAACATCTTTCTCAACCGGGCTACATTTTTCACTTTTAACTCACCCTTGTGTGGCATTTTCCAGTAAACAAAGGGCTCATGGATGTGAACGCGTTGGTGACATATTTACTTTTAAAGGGGATTAAAGAGAGTTCTCTTTTGTTCGTTGCTCAATATTTCAAAAACGAAAATGGAGAGGACTGTACGCTGCCAGAATTGTTCCCTTATGTTCAATGTAGAAATGTTTATGACAAAAATATCTCCACGTTTTCCAGCAAGACATTGAGGATTACTCGTATTAAACATTTCAGAATGAGTCACGTATACGCAAATGTGCAGTCACTGCCATTAATTCATACTGCAGGAAGGTATTTGTGTTGCGGGTTCTTTCCTGGGGGCGAATGCACACGACAGAGAGACACAAATCTATGCAATTTCCTGTGATTTCCAACCGTCTGATAAACAAAAATGTTGATTCTGCTTCAGTAAATGAAACCTGAACTTCCTCAGAAAGTCCTCGATGCAAACCAGCTCTGGTGAGTTTGCATAAAACAAATACTTCAGGACATGACTAAAAGTAATTACAGTAAAATATAACCAATCAGCAGAAACACACACAAAAACATGGCAATCAACAATCAAGTCTCTATCCTTAAAGGAATAATACATTAAAAAATAACAAAGTGAACAAACTTTCCCCTCAGGATGCTTTGAGCAACACAAAGCAGATCAGATGACTTGATACCACAACAGTGTCTTGTGTACAACAACAACAGCAGCAGCATATTTGTGATTTAAGGACGCAAATAAATTCAGAGCGAAGCTGCTGCACTCTGAATTTTTCGAAAGCACTTAGAGGGAAATGACAAACAGAGAGGCAAGCTTTACTGGACTAAACATAATAAGATGTTTGACATGTCAGATGAGATTTGCCCACTGCAGGAAAGGATTTTGGCCAATTTGTGTTAAATTCCATTTATCAGATCTGTCATGGAGAACACGATGTACCCACATCTGGACAAAGCAGAAAAAATATATCAGATTTCAGAAAACAAAGAGACCTTATTTTAAACTTTATCTCAGATCTACTGGACAGATGAGTACAACTTGCTCCCCAACATGCTCCGAGTACTTTAAATCCTCCTCGTGTTAAGAATTAAACATCCATCTGTTTTAACACAAAACATTTCCCGAGTTTAACGAAGCACGCCAGCTTGCCGTGTTTACTCGGGCTTTGGCGACGGAGAGAAGAGGTAAACGAGAACACCGTCTCATCAACACAACGAGGAACTGTAATGTTTACACAGTAAAACTGTGACGGTGGATTTGTTGTGTTACTCAATTCGACCGCAGCTCTTCTAATAAACTGGACTATTTTCCTCCAACGTGTGAAGTCAAAGAACTGTGAACGAAACCACACAGTACAAAAAAAACCAAACTTCCTTACACAGAAGCTTAGCTAAAGAAAAACTTGAATTCATCTGTATTTAATAAACCGGATGAACCTATTGATCAACTAATGGTATTTATTTGTGCGTTATACTGCAGAACGCCACGTTTTCAAGTCATTTTCTGTTTAAACGAGTTTTAAAAACCCTTTTTAATGAAGACAATATGCCACTGCAGTAAGAAAACTTGAAATTTTTAAGATTTTTTTTTCTGAGAAACGAGGACTAAACATATTATATATTGTACACTGGAAAAAGAAAGAAGGGGAAACTGCTTTAAAATGAACATTTTCATAAAAACAGATGAAGCATTCTTACAACACTGAGACTTTTTCACCTGTTTGAAAAAAAACAACTTAAAGGACTCACAGACTTCATGAGTAAATGTCTCTGCTGCCCGCTGTCAGCAAATCTACGTAATGCAATTAATCAATTAGTTGTCAACTGTTAAACTAATTAACTATTTTGATGATTGATTCTGGAAGCTTCTTCAATATGAACATTTTCTGTTTTTTTGTTTTTTTACTTGTATTTGAAAAATAATGTGAATATCTTTGGGTCATGGGAAAAATAAAACATGAGGACATCATGTTGGACTTTTGGAAACACAGACGAACATTTTTCACTATTTTCTGACATTTTATAAACCAGACAACTAACCGAGTTATCAAGAAAATAATCATCAGACTGACAGACAATGAAAATAATCAGCAGCTGTAGCTCTGCTGTCAAGTCTCCCTCATTAAATCTCATTCAATTCAATCAATTCTTACATTTTTACTCCTCTGAACTGAGTCTGAGAAGCACGCCGAGTAGAGCCGTCCATGCATTCCTCCCCCAGCCGACACTCAGCTGCTGCTGTTCATCCTGAGACGTTTATAAATCACACTGAACATGTAATCTCAGCTCCTCTGGCATGTTCCTTGCAGTACATCTTTAGAATACCACCACACCAAGGCACGCACAAAGCATGCTAATGGAACATCCAAAAGCCCAACAACCGGCTGATTCCCACCTGTGTCTGAGGCATCGACCCACCACAGTGGACATGCTCCTAATGATGAATGTCTGTCAGTTAAATGAAGGCCGACTAGTCTAAAGGTCAGAAAACGGGAGCTGTGCTCCAACCTGGATGTGATTATTTTGTGCCCAGCATCATATATTCCAGATCAATGCATTAAATCAAAGTTCAGGAGCCCTCGCCTTCAACAAAGTTGGGGAGAAACATATTTTGCGTAGACGTCTAGATGACGAACTGCTGACTGAGCACCAGCAGGACTCTTGTTGCATTGGTCGCATGTGGTTTCAGCATGTGAATGTTTATTCTGGCTCAGCCAAAATACAACTTTATTTTCATTTCCTACGTCAAAATACTGCCAAACTGAGTTGGTTTAACAAGATGTTGTCCGTCCCAATTTCCATCTCGGTCTTCACCGTCTGCGGGGAGACGAGGGCTGCCGTCTGTCGGGGTCGTAGCTCCACGAAGCGGCAGGTGACGGCGTAACATCGGAGACGCAAAAGCAGGTAAAATATATGAATGACTTTAACCAGCTAGTGCTTCTGGTGCCGACTAACAAAGGTAGCAACGGTTAATCTTGTAGTGACTAATGGCAGCCATGACTAAATAAAGCTACAGCTATGTTTGTGTCTGAAGGTTTTCTGTCGCTACCCCTGGCTAAATAAATTATTGAATTCAATTGTCAAATCTGGGCAAGACGATGACGATCATGAGGCTGATTTGGAGCACCTCCGGCCAAAACGAGCACCTACTGGAACTATTAGTCTTTCTTCTTCTCCACAGACTCGGTCAGTTTCTCTCTGCCTCACATGTGAAACCATGTTCCAATGATGGAACCATCTACAGCTGATTATTGTAAAAAACTAAATGAGGAGAGGAAGGAGGAGGCGGGAGGAGGGCGAGGTCCGACTGAGAAACACCTGATCAGAGTACCAGGTGTAAGGTCTCTGCATTCGATCACAATTACAAACACAGTGCTAGAGCTGCAAAAACAAACAAATTAACAGCAACTGCGATTTTGGCTTCCCACAATTAACACTGAATATGACTGACTGCAGCTTTCACATTTCAAATGCACTCTACTCTTTTCAGAAAAAACACCCCACGTAGATAAAATCACTCGGTTTGACCTTTGGAAAATCTGGCATGAGAACACTATTTTTTTTTTTTTACTCTTTTCCAACTACACACCTGTCTAGGTGCACTGCAGTCCCTCTTGTGTGCACTGCGTTGCAAAATGAACAGTATTCTAAAGCCACACAGCTTTGAAATCTTTCAAACCAAGCAAACACACAAAGTTCACCTGCATCCATGTCTCACCTAAACAAGCAGCAGCTCCCACCATTGCGTAAAGCCCCGGAGTGATGCAGTCTGCTCCCGGCGAGCACCACCCTTTGAAGATGAACCAGTCGTGGTTGTAGTAGGCCAGCTGCTCCATGCCGACGCCCAGCAGTCTGCCGGCTATGGCTCCGACCGCCATGCTGGGGATGAAGAGGCCAGAAGGAACCTGGGTGGACGGACAGAGGAGGAGCGACTTTGTAAAAGGCGACTTCTCGAGATGGGAAACAGCAAAACAGACTGCAGGAGGGAGGGCCACTTACTTTACATAAACTAAAGAATGGGAAACATGAGTGAATGTAGGCAGGGCACTGATTCAAATGTGGTTCCAGACATATTACGGACAGCTGCTCTCGTACGAGTTTCACATGCTATGTTACATCAGTGTTCACAGGGAATGCTGCTTTAATAAACCATGAGCTCTAAAAGTGTGCAGGTGGGACTTCATAACAGTGACTGAGCAGAACTGCCTACACAGTTTGCAGGGTTATGCATGTCTCTTCACCAACCTTCATGCCAAAGGTAATCACAGTGATCATCATCTTGAAGACCAAGGCCAGAGCCAGCTGCCACAGAGCTGTGTACAGGCCTTCTCCTGCTGGCCGGTCTGCTAGGCTGTTGCCTGCACCTGTTTCTGATGTGTTGGTTGGCTGCAAGTGTGAGTGAGAAGCACACAAAGTCCAGGAGAAACAGATAAATAGCAGGAAAATTAAAGCAGACAGGCAGAGAAGCAAAAATTCATTTAAGAGTACATGGCGCAACGCTCAACTTTTGTTTAATTTATGGGAATAAAAACAAGAGGCCACAGCAACTTGTTGAAACGCTCTCTCTCTAAACAATACAGTGTTTCCACACAAACGCACTCCTGCGGACCCGAGTCTTACACAACGAGTCCTCGGCTGACCTGTTTGTAGCCGCAGAGCTGAGAGGAGTCGAGCAGGGAGCAGTCGTTGAACAGCTCGGAGATGAGCTCGGCGCCGCTCATCCTGGTGTAGCTGTTTGGGTAGGCCAGTAGGGCGGTCAGCGCGGCCACCACGAGCACCTCGATGACGGGGTAGTGGCCCAGGATGGTGGATTTACCTGGTAGACACACAGAGACAACACCAATTCAAGCTCAAGTTAGACAAACAGGAAGACATTCACATCATTACTACTCACGTTTCCTGCACCAGGCGATGTTGGCCCTGATAAACAGCGCCCCCCAGAGGCCTCCAAATATCCCCAGCAGGATGAAAGGGGCCAGCTCCACCAGGTGCCACGGAGCATGAAACTCCACGTAGAACAGCACCAGGCGGCTGTTTCCAAACGGGTTAATGGAGCGCAGAGTGAAAGCAGCCACCAGAGCGGCGAAGAACGAACGCCAAAGAGTCTTCAGGGGGAAGTAGTAGCTCACCTGGGGGAGGAAAAAAAACAGACAGGATAGTGATAAAGAGACAGATGTGTGCTTAAAACCAAACTCTGAACATTTATCAAGAAGTAGAGAAGCAAGAGCTGAGCGTCTGTCCATAAAAGTAATGAGTGCAATCCAAAAATGACAATTAAATGAGCACAATTAGAGACTAAGATTATTGTTTGTATTATTAAAATGTGTAAAATGCAGATTGTACAGAGTCAATACAACTTCAGTAATTTTTTTTGATGACGTCATCAAGCCATATGAACCATAATCTGCATTATCAGCTCAGTGCAGAATGCTCCATAAACTCACTCGCTAATGAATTACATGCACATTTCTTCCCTAATTTTGCTCATATTTTGGCTCTAAACTGCCCTCTGAGGCGGTCAAAGTCATCCAAGAACCTCCCCGAGGAGTTTTGCTGAGGACAGAACATAAAGCTGCCAAGACACACTGACTTCACAACCTATCGACACTTTTCCACGGTTTATTATTTCCCAGTTAGGTGCCGATTCCAGAAAAACTAAACACAGATCGGAACGCAATTAAAAACCAATTCAGATCAGTTTTGTAATCTGGTCTTGATAAAATAACTTCTGTTTCTGGTGGAGTAAAGACGAGAATTAAACTCTTTGTAATGCGTGTCTGCGTGCTTCAGTGAAATGAAATCAAGAGCGTGTTATTCGTTACCTGAGATTCAACATCAGTGTAAATAGAAGCAGAGAATTATCAGATAAATGACTGACTAGGAGCAGGAAAGGGTTCATTTTTCTAGGAAGTGAATCAATAAATCTCCTCACCTCCTCCAGACTGAACAGGACTCCTCCTATGGGAGCTCCGAAAGCCACCGACACACCCACCGCTGCTGCTGCTGATAACACCTGCAAGCAAGACAAAAAAAAAAACACAAAGATGACTTTATATATTTCTGTATAAATGGTAACAAATAGAGTTTGTTTTTTGCTCAGACATGCGCCGCCTCATCCTCAGCGGTGAATGAACAGTTCTCTGATATAAATAGAAAGATTTACTGGATAACAACAAAACAGACCAACAGTTCTCAGATTTAGCCGCGGTGCCCTCGTGATATAACAAATGACAAACACTTTCATCGCTGATTTTTGAGTATTTTTTAGATTATTTGAAAGATCCTTTTGTCTTCAAAGATCTGGAAAACATGGAAACATGCCCATTAGCCTACAGTGCAGCATTAAATCTGTCCTCTGTCTGACTAAACTCAAAGATATTTTCAATTATGTGAAAATTAAAGCTTCAGTGTTCAGTTAATAATCTAATTAGACGTCAACTATTAAATGAGGTGTGGGTCATTTTGATAATTAATTACTCAGTTTGAGTCATTAAAGGAAAAAAAAGAACATTCTCTGATTCAAGCTTCCTAAATGTGAACCTTCAATGCTTTCTTTCGCTGACTAACTGATTAATCAAGAGAGTAATCATCGTTAAAACAACTCTTATTTGCAGTCCTAATAAAAATGAGAAAAGCCTTTCTAATGGAGAAGCTGTAACCAGAAAAAGTTTGGCGTTTTCTTTTTAATTGAGCTATAAAATCATATAACTACTGTGTTCAATGGCTGCAATCTAAGTGAAAAATAAAAAATAAATTGCCTGTATTGTTTAATGTCTTTTTTTGTATATTGTAGGTCTGCCTTCTTGTTCTGACTCACCAGACGTAGGCTGCAGGTGCAATCCTGCAACTGTCAATCATTTAACACGACTTTTTCCTCCCCGTCCGCCATCTGAGTTTTGTCAAAGTCTGTAAACCTCTGGGCAGCAACCTACCACACTGATGATTTCTCATTTTGCAGAGGATCTGGATCGTCTAGTCGGGCAACTTAGAGTCACAATTTTAAATGGCTGCATTCAAATGTTCCTAATAAAAAATAGTTCCACTCGTCATTTATTTGAGGGAGCCACATCCGTCACTGAGCTCCACTTTGACTGCTTTAACGAAAAACAAACAAAGCGGGCCGTTTTTTTCTCCCCTATAGCAGAGTGATAATGAAGTGCAGTCACACCACTATGTTCTCCAGAACGGGCCAAGCGGAGCAACTTTACACCCAACAGGGCCTCGCACGGTTGCATATTCATCTGTTGTAGGAATAAAGTGAAAGCAGCTGCAGAATTTGTAACTGCATTGAGCTTATCAAAACAACATCACAGGCAGACTGCGAGATGATGCATTGGTTAAATAATATTTATCTGCTGAGACGCCCAAATCCACGATCCTAAATTAGCAATAAAATCCCTCAGTATCATCAACATTTCCTCACCCCAGCTGCCTCGCAGCTTACCTCTCGTCGCTTGGCCTCATTCTTGCGGTATTTGGTGAACAGATGACAGAGTATGTTCGCACAGCAACAGGCTACGTGGACCAGAGGGCCCTCCTTCCCTAAACTGAGCCCAGAGGAGACAGCCAGAACCAGGGTGATGGTCTTGATGATGAGGGTCCATTTCCCCAGGTAGCCCCGGATGATGAACCCGCTGAGGATGGTTTTAATCTGAACAGGACGGAGAGAAGAGTGAGTGTGTTTGCATGTGAAAGGATTAGGTTCTGTTTGTAGAGCGGATGATGATATGTTTGCTCTTATGTCTGTTTACGCGAAGGAGGGATCGGTTTAGATGTGCGTGTCTGAGCTTATAACCGTGAGGACGTGAGTGTAAACACTGATAGAAGGGAGGAAGATAAATGAAGCTTTTGTTTTGGTATTTTTCTTTCACATCAGCAGTTAATCTCCTGTGCGTGGGCCTGCTGACCAGCATCTGACCCCCGAGAGACGAGGCTCAAGCTGCACAAAATTAAGGATTGTCTTCATTCGAGAGCAGGAACGAGAGGGACAATGTTTGTATATGCAGGAGAAAGTCATATTTATGTGTTTTACTCTGAAATGGGTGAATCAGTTTGGGTATGTTTGTGCTCAGTCAGGTTTTCCACTTGTATTTCCAGCGTGTAAGCAAATCTTCAGCTTTTTTTTATTTTAGCAGAAATGAAGATTGAAAGAAACAGAGCAAACGAGAAAGTAAACACTGACAGAAGGACAGCCACGGTAGATGTAAATAAATCGGTTTTAATGAATGCTGTGAGGAAACACTACGGGACAGCGGGGCCGAACGGGAAACAGGACAAGAGCTGGTCTCTGTGATGCTTAGTACAAGTGAAAGAGGGAAAAAATGGCATCAGAGAACGCTGTCAATTTCACACAAACCTAACCCTAACCCTTGGAACAGCATTCAACTTCAAGAAAAAAACAAATGTTTGTGGCTTTTAGTCAAAGACGAAATAGAAAAGAACAAAATCTGCAACGCAATCCTGAACAAAACTTTAACACTAAAGCAAACAACGTCATTGTCAGTTATCGGTATCAGTAATTCTATTGGCTGATTATTGATAAATTAAATGTGCTGCTTCAGGTCTGATGCAGTCTCCTCTTGCTGTCTGTAGTCATGCTGTGGTCTCAGAAATACATCTCAAGCCTTTTGTAAATGCCAATAATTAGTTAAACAAACAGTTAATATTCTGTGATTCTAGCTACCTGTTTTTGACAATAAACGGAGAATGGGTTGAGGACATGACCTGCATTTATCTCCATTTTCTGACATTTTATGGCCCAACAAACAATTAATCAAGACAATAATCAACAGAGTCATCAACATTAAAAATAGTTGCAGCCCTACTGAAAATGAGAAAAGCACTTCAGCAGGAGAAGCTGCAACTGGAATATGTTTGGAATTTTCCAGCAATTTCTTTGTGTGATATAAATCCACTGTGTTATCATCATGTTTAATGGCTGTAATCTAAGTAAAAATAGGTTCAATAAGATTTTTTTCTGTTTTGCTTTTTGTAGTAAGACTAAATATTCTAGCCCTGTTGCAAAATAATCTGCATCAGCCCCAAAAAAACCACCCACATCGGTCGATCCCTGCTTTATACGATCTACTGTCTGAATAATAGTTAACAGTGCTTTTTAATGACACTCCTGCATCATGTCTCACCTCTGGTATTCCTGAGCCGCACGCATACGGCGCAAACGCTCTGACCAGCGTAACAGCCAAGAAAGCGAAGAGCAGAGCCCAAAATATGTACATCAGGTAGTTCACGATGTAGGCAAACGGACCCTGCAGAGGAGAAGCAAACACAGGAAGAACCCACATGTGATTTCTCAACAAAAACAGACAAAACAGAAAAAAGGATCCAGGTTAGGTCGTTGGTTTTATTATAACAGCTTCCAACCACTAGGTGGAACCAGAGCACCACTACAACTGTAGTCAGTCTGTGGCCTGTGCATGAAACTGTGAGTGTCAGAGTGTGGAGCTGTAATAAAATCCTGCCAAGCTGTAAAAAAATACCTCATGTATCATCAAAAACTCCCCTCAAGCAGATAGTAGTGAACAGTGAGACACTCAGTCCTGCATCATGGCTTGGATTTAATTAAGTTTTTATACTTTTTTTTTTCCACACATTTGGAGCCAAGTGGCGTGTCCAGCTTGTCTAGTCATACGAGACAGGCCCCACAAAGCTTTGCTAACCATTCTCACAGCGGCTTTCCAGCAAAACTCTGTAATAACCTCGTACCTCTGAAGTTCCAGTTATGAGTTCGGCCCAGCTCTGCCACTGTGGACACCGGTCTCTCTCCTGGAACGTCGTCTCGTTGGACGTCCAGCAGCAGTGCTCGTGGTTGAACCAGAAGCCGATAAGACAAACGCCGCCTTTCATGTCGGTCAGCCAGTGGGCCGCGATGTCGATGCCGCCGGCCAGAGCACCTGGAGGAGAGAAGGATGAGCTCAGGGCAAAGACAACAAGCAGCACCGCTTCACTCAAAGACATGCAGAAGATTTATCTATCTGGGTTTGAAGGTATGTTAACAAGCAAATCCCAATCAGCTAACGTCACAAAAGTAAACTCTTTAGCTTACTGGGTGAACAACAACAAAACCACCTGCCAGCTTCATGAATATTAATTAAATATGTGTCGCCCTGATTATTTTCAAGGCCATCCTGGTGCTATTTTGTGTCTGTACACCTGCTGTCGGTCGCCACATGGGAATTAACTTTTAGCTGATGCAGGCAGCAGTGAAACAAGAGAAGAAGCATAAACAGGTAAAGTCACTGCGCCTTTGTTTGTTTAAGATGCCATGTAGGTAAATTACACCTATGATGACTACTACTTTCACTGATAACTACATGCTGTACTCTGCAGTGGTGCTATTATCTAGATGGACAGGTGCTCATGGCGGGCAAGAATTACACACTAGTAGAGAGCTGAGCACTTCAACATAGATGTTAAAATACATCGTCCCACAATAGCATGAGTCATATGTCGCTTGGGTTTTATTTGCTATTAATGTTAGATCTCCACACAACAAAATAAAGTGGGTACTATCTATTTTGATCAGCAATTGGACATGATTGAGTACAGTACAAATACAGTACGGTACAAGATAGAAGAAATAAAAGATTTCTAATAAAATGAGATAGAACTCTCACAGTGCAACTAAACATCAGATAATGAATTAGTGGGAGAAATTTGGTTTGTGGAGTTTAAAGAGCGTTCTTTGACTATCAAGCTGGTTAAACTGGAGTGAAGTTTCATGTGCCAATCAAACAGAAGCCCGTATTTACCAGATCCTAGCTCGAAATAATACCATGCATGTCAGTAAGTGAGGACTGTTGTTTGCTCTACCTGCCATGAGTCCCACCAGCAGCATGAGCAGCCATCCAGAGAAGGCGTCGCTGACGCTGTGCAGCAGAGCCACGGTCGACTGTCGGCTCTTATTGGTGATCTGGAAGGACGCACAAATGAAAGGAAGCATATGAGAGAGTGATTATCATGTTGTGTTGCTTCATAGAGGTTTCCTTTAAGTTTCACCATTAAAACATCATTTACATCAGGTATTGTGGTGTAAATAAAACTGAACAGCATTCAGATGTATCTTAAACCTTTTGCTGTTTCTGCTGCTGACAGTTTCAGACCTTTAAACCGATGGCGTGTGATGTAATCTAAAAAGGTTTCCGCTAACCAGCTGCTTCTCTCGCACCTTGCTGGCAACACCAACGGAAACGCACAATTTTCTACTTCCACCATGTCAATGTGTCAGACGGCAAACACAACCGCTGAAGCAAGATGTTCTTCTCTGCATTAACACAGGTCAAACGTGGCGGTTTTTCTCTGTCAGAGCGAACACAAACTGGAGTTCAAACTTCTGTAACAGAGTTTACCAAAAGTATTTTATCACACACGACGGTGAGCAGCTCACTGTGCTCAATATTTATGACCCAGTTCATGTTTTACAGTCTCTCCCTCCTTTAACAACAAACACCGTCTTCCTCCTTACCTCTCTGTGTCTGTCTCGGTCCTTGCTCTTCTCTCGGACCCAGTCGATGGTGTTGAAGTCTTCATAGGTGCCCAGTCCAGGCAACGGGTCCTCCAGGGGGTCCACGAGCTTACTGGGTCCGGTGCCGTTCATACCGGCTGCTCTGCTGCTGCTGCTGCTGCTGCTGCCGGTGGTGGTGGTGTACTCCTCGAAACCTCCTGGGAAGAGACAGGGAGGGAGACACTGAGTAACTGTCGCACTCCAGCATCTTGCTTACTACCACGCTGCTCTTGTCTTGTGATTTCATGCCTTCGTTTTTATTGTTTTCTACTTTGTTTGATTTTAGTTTGAATGAAACGTGTGCTTTTTGTGATTAGAGGAGGTCAAACTTCACCAGAGTTATAAAAGACAAGAAAAGCATGTGAACTCCTTCACACCCAGCACGGTGCAAGAACTCCAGCCGTGTTTCCCACACGTACCCTATATACGATATGGGTTTTCATATATAACAGTATTGGGCCAGGTTGAAACAATCTCAACTCATATGTCAAAAAAGATCTGCTCTAATACTGGCAGGAGGAGCAAAATCATATTTGAAATCCACTTTGACCCACTGGAAGGTTGCAGAGTTTATTACATCTTATACAAGACTCATAATTCCACTTTACATAAAGCCTGAGGAGGTCTGGAGGCCATTAAAATCAAAAGAGGAGCCTGAACTTTAGCTAATTTAAGCACAATCTGCATGTTAAATTCTGATTTTCACTGTGTGAGTGGAATCTTTTGCCTGCAGTCAAGGAGAGAAACTGTAGGGACTGAATATCCACTGCAATCTGTTTTTTATTAATTCATGAAAAGGGAAAATGTGAATGCACTGTAGCAGGTTATAGCTACAAGCTATTTACATCTGTGGACAGAACAGTGACAAAATACTGCTGCTGCTCACAATAACACGTGACAAATATGTGTCTGTCAGACAAACACAGCTCATACAGACCACAGGATGGATTATCAAAGTCAGTGCGAGCAGAGCCGAGCCACTTTTAGCAGCCTTTTTAAATTGGTTCTGAAAGTGCTGATAGAACTGCAGCCTCTTACATCATCAGGCAGCGTGCTGCATTGATTTGAGGTTGTTACAGAGAAAGCCGACTGCCCAAATGCAGCACGGCACCATCTCGTAGGGATGATATATTCCTAAAGATCTCAGGGAATGTACAAACTCTTCTAGCAAAGCAAGCCTTGGTCACAAAATTGTGACCTTCAGAGAGACAATCTCCTAAAAAAAAAAAAAATACAGTCTAATAAAACACCACCGGGACCCAGTTAATTAAGACGTTAAAAAGACGGTTTTAATGAGCAACAAAGGTACAGTTGCACATGATTTAGTTTAACCTGTTTCTCTCGTTACATTTCTTCCCTTTTTGAAGACCACCTCTGGTCAAAGTCAAGTATTTCTACCTTGTTAACATGTTTATATTGTGTTTTTAATTATGCTGGAAGACACATTATGAGGGAAACAAGCAGACTAGAACACGGCTGAGCATTTCCACCTCCGTTGGTCGACTCAAATGTGTAGATTCAGACTAACAGGGTTTTATACGTAACAAATCTAAGGAATCACTACTGTCACCTTGCACTTGGAGTCTTTCTGTATAATTCTTCTTCTTCAAAATCAGTTTCCAGTTCAAACTTATGTGGCTGAATTCTGTAATATTAGAACTTGCCATTGTGTAGTGTCGAGTAGTTTTAGTGTTTCAGCACGCTGGAGACTCTAAAGATCTGCACATTTTAGAAAAAGCAATGTTGCAGAGACACACTGAGGCCATTTTAAGGCATTGTTTTCAAGGAAAAACTTCTAAATATGTAAC